AATATTAACTTTTGCCTCCCTCAGCCCTACCACAGCCAGCTGCAGTCACACACAAGGAACGTCCGATACAAGAACAAAATGAAAGAAATGAGAAGACAGGATTTGCAGAAGAGGTGAGGATCACCAGCTAGGCAAGAGTTTGCTTCGGAAGTACTTGCAATGCAGTAGAGGTAGCTGATACACCCCCGCTGGGATGGAGTAAAGCAATGGTGTGGACCTGAGTGAGTGGAGATGAGCGGGTGCCACCTGCCTCTGAGGTAAAGCAGAGCTGCGTCGCGGTCGTCGCTCCCCTCGCTCGGGCACCGACACCTCCGAGCGACGGTGATTCCTGGGCCCTCGCGCGGAGCTTCCCCGTCACCCAGGGCCAGCCCTGGGGTGGCTGTGGCCGCCCAGCGCCTGCCCTTCGCACCTCGGTCCCCTCTTTCATCACTCTGAGCGGGGGCAGCGGGTGCGCGCTCAGGCCGGGCTCCGCGCGCTCGGGCTCCTCGGGCCTTGCCAGGGCCGCGCTCTGCCCTCCCGCCAGCCCCTCGCTGGGCACCGCAACCGTCCACTCGGCTCATCTCACCCCAGCTTGCCCACGAGCTGCCAGCGAAACAGTGTTTAGACAGACAGCACCGGCGCCTCGTGCTCACCCAAAGACAGGCAAAAGCCGAAAGAGCAGCTTTTCTGCCCACTTCGCTGCCAGAAACTTTCCCTCTTCCGTTTCCTTCAGGTAGTTACCTGGGCTGGCCCCACCAGCCTCTCTGCCTCCGTCTCAAAGCCATTTACAGAGGATTTTTAGGACTCTCCCAGCCTCTGTGTGGCTGTGTGGGAGGACTTGATGCTCTGATGTCTCTAGGCCACATGCCCTCACTTGGCTCCCTGCCTTCCCTTTGCTGTGACTTGCACCCTACTCCCATCACTCTTGCAAAATGACTTGCATTTTCCCAGCCAAGCCAATGGAAGCCCTTCTAGAGGTACTCAAGGCTTTTTATTTTTCTTAAATGAAGTCTTTGATTATAACCCGGTTTATTCGGAACTCTCCAGCGTTGCTGCTTACTGATGCCTCAGGTGCCAACGTCCAGCTGATGCTCCCAGGGCTCTAGCAAAGCTGCTCCTTCACTTCCCAATGCGGTAAAGGCACCCGCTGACACGGCAGCGGCTACTCCTGCTATTTGCTCCGACTCCGTGTGGGGCGCAGGGGCGGCCGCCCCGGGCTGCAGGAAGCAGCACACGCTGCCGGCCAAAGTGACATTTTTGAGGGCATTTTCTTTCCTTCTACCTCCAGCTACCGCGCTGGAGAGCCACTAGCCATTCATAAACCACTTCATGGAATATTTATGGAATTGAGCGTCTTGGCAGTGGTTTATAACCTCGTGCACTTGCCAGGGAGGCAAGGGGACCGGCAGCAAGCAGATGGCTGCAACAGTGACACTGCTATCGCATGGGGGCATTGGTGCTGGGCTCCTAGGAAAACCCACGGCACCGCGCAGTGTCTGCACAGCAGGTCCATAAAAAGCTCCAGCTGTAAAGAAATCTGCAACCCTTTCTGAAATGCCCCACAGGCACCGTCCCCACAAGCAGCAGAACAAAGATGAAGCAGAAGAGATTCCCCTGGCAAACTCCTTGGGGACCGTGGGACTTGACTCCAAGAGCCCGATAAGTTAGTCAGGCAGAGATGGCTCCAAAAGAGGCCCCAGAACAGACATCCACAGGCTTTGGGGCTGTTTCTACCCAAATGGGTCCATCTCTTGCTTGTTTTAATCATAGAGGTAGGCTGTCCTGTGGCTACATGGGGCAACAGGGAAAGTCTCCCTTCAACTAACGCAACGAGAACTGTCCTCAAACGCTCTTTCCAGCCTCCAACCCAAGCACAGAGCTTCTTCCCTGCCTCTGCAGAAGCTGGCACCACTGAGATGCACCAGAGAAAAACCACCACGTAACCACATCAGACCCCCCAGCACTCCCTATGCCCACCCCACATATAGCCCTCTTAGCAGGCAACCAAAGTTTGGATCTAAATAAAGCCCCAAGACAGTATAAAGCAAGAGATGAATGCATTTTTAACTGTCTAAAAAAGTCAGGTGTCTCAGTTTTAACAGATCCAGCTAAGGAGGTCCGATTTCTCAGAGGAAAGCACCTTTGGAATCAAGGTACCTGAAGGGCTCGAGTGAAGACACATTAGTACAAGCCATGTTTGCCCCGACTGCCAGCCTTGGGACAGTTAACTAGCTTCTAAAAAGTCAGCATGCCTCCTCACACACGCTCTGGGACCTGTAACGGTGCTGGTGGCGGCCCAAGTCAGGCTGATGGTATTTTCCATCATCCTATTGAACCTGGGCACTGATCTGTGGATCAGACGTCTGTGGAAACTGTAATTATTGAAATCAATTCCAAACACGTCTCTTCTGAAGAGAGCATTAAAGACCCAAACAACTCTCAACTGTCATTTGTCCCGGGAAATTTCTCTTATGGAAAAACCCAGCGTGTGCCCAAGGATAAGGGTCTCATGCTGAAAGCAGAGCGGTTACCACCACACAAGATGATACTTAACAGCCCACTTTCCTTAACTCCTTCAGCTCAACACCTGATCCACACCAGGAACCGGCAATCCCGTTCTGGGGAAAACTTCCACAGCCAAAGGGCCAGGCCAGCTCTGAGGGGACTTTCCAAGGATCGTATACAGGATACGCAAAGGTTAGAGGCCTTCCAGCACGGGCAGCAGAAACGCTTATGCTCCTTTAGTAAGAAAAAGAGAGAACGGAAGCAGGAGGAGACCATAATAGGAGAAAACAAACCAAAACAGCCCCAAAGAAGAAGAAAAATAAACAGGAGAAAAATGGGAGGGATACCAAGGCCAACTCCGAAATGAGGAAACTTCCTTCTATCAGGGAGAGCAGTGCAGACCTCGCCACGGCCAAGCAGACGAGACCAAATTCCCTCTGTTCATCAGCATTACTCACTGGAACACGCAGCGGCCCAGCAAGAAATGTGACCAGGACCCCCCGCTGGCGCCGGCTCCGGTTCCGCTCCAAAGGGCTCCAGCCGCCCCTGTCCTGGAAGAGCTGCTGGACACAGCCACGACCAGCCCCAAGCATCGCCCGGGATAAGCACAGGCCCGGGGAAGGCGTATCTTGACCAGCAGCAGATAAAAACAGCCTGAATCTGCAAGATACCAGAGGCCTCTTGAGAACGGCCGAGGGCCCTGGAGCCGGGACGCGAGCGCAATCACAAACGCTAATCGCCGCGCGGACGGGAGCCCCGCGTGCCGCCCGTCACGTCTGCGGGGCCTCGGGGAGGAAAGCCCTTCCTGCGGGTATTGCAGAGGGACAGGAAGAGCCCCCATCCTCTGCACGAGCCTCTCCCTGCCCCTGGGCGCCCGCTCCGGCTCGGCCATCCCTGCAGGACGCTTCCTTCCCGCCAGCTCCGCCGTTGCTTCGGCCACACGGTTTGCAAATGCTCCCTAAAAACGTTCTGCAAAGCGGTCGCACGGTGGTTCAGATCTTTCCACATCCCCCCGTAACACCTGGCCTTTATCTCACTACCTGCCAGATAGCGATAAACCTGCTGCATGCAAACCCAGACTTATCATTTAAGATAAATACAATCCATCTTGTAGCTGTCATCTCTTTTCAAACCCTGCCCTCTGTGGCTGTATTTGTAGTTGTAGCAAATTACTTGTTTTCTTTGGGCCTGAAATACCTAACTTTTAAAAATAAATAAATAAATAAATAAAGCAAAAACACACTAGCAAGAGCCCCAAAGCATACATGAAATGTCAAGCCTGGCCTTCCTGGCACTGCATTTCCTGCTCCTTGATCAGCAAGGAAATTCCTGTTGACCTGCTCTTCTGTATTTTCTGCAATGGCACTTACATATACTTTGAATATCATTCATTGTATTTTATATAACCTGCTTATTTTTCTAATAACCAACAAGCACAATGACAAAAAGCATCCTTTGTCCAGAACAAGCCCCAAACTAAACCCACTGGGGTGGGTGAGTTGCTTAAATATAAGCAGCTAGTGGGTTGCAAAGTGCTCTGAGTCTCTGCTGTCACATCTGAGGGGCACGTGTGTCCCTTAGGTGCCATCCCGCTCTATCAGCCCTGCAGGGCCCAGCTTCCCAACATCACCCGTAACTCGAGTAGCGCCTCTGCCACCTCCCTCACACAGTATTGCCCATTTCCAGCAATATCAAACCCAAGGTTTCCATTCAATTTGCTTCTTGCAGAACTCAGAGCAAGGAACAGTAGAGATTGCACCCTGACCACTCACTCAGTGAGCTCAGTAGGTATCCAGGCTAATTCCCATCCCAGCGCTGCTCTGGTGGATCCTGTGCAGTTCGGTTGGTCCCTGTGCCGTTAGGATAAGGAAGGAGTTGGAGCAAAGCAGGTTTGAGTTGGCTGCGGGAGTTTCCTGCACACCAGGAAAGCGTGGAGTCTCCACTGCACATATTTAAAAGCAGGACAGCCAAATATCGGCCCCAAACAGCGCAAGCAGAGCTGATCCTGCTTTTAGGCAGGCAGAGGCAGGGATTAGGTGACCTCGGAGCACTCCTGAGGGTGTTTTCCATAACTGAGAGTTGTTTGTGCCATCTGGCCATTCTGATCGACAGCGATTTACTGCAGAAAAAACTGTGCAACACAACTAATAATTATTCTTGACACAGCTATAAGCACTGCGAAGGCACCTTCTGCTTTTACAGAGGAAACTGAAGCCTTCAGAGGTTAAATGACCTCGAGGCAGCAGAGCCTGCGTTTATCTGCTCTTCACCCCTGACCAACCAAGCCTCAGCATCCAGCTACACAAGCAGCTCATAACGAGGCAACTTTCTCCCCCTTTTAGGGTGAGCAGAACGACAGTGACCTGGTGCTATCGTGTTCTCATCATTCAGGTGCTATTGGTTGCTGCCAAACCCGAAGGTGGCCCATGAGACAACAAACTACTACATCTTAAACAGCAGACGTGCGAGGAACGGAAGCAACTACTGACTTGGGAGAATGCTCCCTGTTTCCTTGATGCAGACCCCAAGATCTCTTGCCTTTTTAGCTGAGACTCCGACAAAAAAGAAAATGCTTCAAAATCCCATCCCTTTTTTTGTCGAATGAGAAAAACAAGGAAGGACCTAGAGAGTTACTCCCCATGCCCCTAGTCTGAAGAACACCACCAGGAGCTGCTGCGCCTTCAACCTGAGGACAAGGCTGGACTTTGCAGGACACCAACAGAGATGCTGAGGTCGGACTTAGCTTAGAAAAAAATAAAATAACTC